CCTTAAGCAAGAGAAGTCTGGAAACTTGTGCATTTGTAGGCGCCTCAGGACTGAAAAATCTGTTTCAATGGAAAAGAAAAGTGAAAGGGTATCTGTCTGTTTGGGATAAAGAGGATTATTTTTTGCTTGATTGTTCATTTTGGAACTGAAAATGTCGATTTAAGAGTATCCACAGAACTAATCAGCTCAATGTAATTAAATATTTCCTTGAGATATTTTTTTATTCGTTGTTAATTTATAAACCTGAGATTAAAAAAGTGCATTATGTACGATTCAATTAAGAGAATATTTTCAAAAAGATGTCATCCGTAGGACATTTGCTTTCTTTTTGATCATCTATTATGTAATTTAGGCCCATGATTAAAATATTAGTGAAATATATATGGAACAAGGAGACTGGTCTCTTACATGAGCATACTCCTTTTGATATTAATTACTCTTGATGGAAGCATGAAAACGAAGGATGGTACATTGAAGAAAGATAAAAAAAAGTTCAAGAAGGTTGGACAGCTTAAAAGTAGCATCAATGATAAATCTTGTTCATTGGTTTTGACTAGATACCAGATGTTTCGACTATAAGTAATCATCGATGAATAGGTCGTCGGATCCATGCATGCATACTCTTCACCATCTGATTACATAACAAATGACGATAATGACAAGACCTTTCAGATTTTCCTAGTATATATATATATATATATATATATATATATATATATATATATATATATATATATATATATATATATATATATATATATATATATATATATATATATATATATATATATATCTTTACTAACTTATAAAAGAAATCCTACTATTTCTATAAATAGATCCAATAAAATAATATTATTTTTTTAAGACGTTCAACTCTCTAAGCGTAAAGTACAACTAATCATGAATAAAATAATATTAAATTTTAAATTGATTATCTTTGAAATCTTATCTCTTCCAAAAATTTGATCCGATCTCTTATCCAATTAAAATAAAACAAATAATCCATTATATAGGCCCTTTTATTTGTAATTTTTTAAGCTTTATTTATTATTTATGCCCTCTAATCGAAATTGACCAATCAGTTGTAAAATCAAATACTTTGTTTACTATTAAGAAAAAAATATCTATGTATGATTTATGAGTAATAGAAAATTAGTATTCCATTTGTTATTCATGTTCCATGAAATATGGTTGTATTAATTTTATTATTTTTTGGTTTAAAACTTTAGATAGTAAAGTGGATAATAGGATATATCCGTTTAGATTTATATGTATCAAGCAAACCGGGTTGTTAAGATTAACTTTGATTCTACCTTTTATTAACTTTATCAATACCAATAAAGGTATAAGCAAGTCACTTCCTATGGATGTGTCCTGATTTCTAAAATGAAGGACTATAAACGTATACTACACACCAAAATATTTATTTTCTTTTGTATTGCGAGGGTTACATTTATTTGTTGCCATAAAACCGATCGATAACAATATGCATATGTTTTGTGTTACTTCAAATCTAACATGTTTCCGTTTAGAACTTATTGTCGAATGAGAAACTATTTTTCGTCGCCGCTTTGCGCGGGTCTACGGCTAGTGTATATATATATATATATATATATATAGTTCATTTATAAAGATTAAATTACTCACTTTCCTTTTATATAATCTTTGATTATGAATTTTGTATGCAGAAAACTAAATATGCTTCATGTTTTCCATACCAATACTAAATATAATGTTAACCGAATATACGAATATGCTTTCTATCTTACCATGTGATATATGTGTTTATGTATGTTTGTTGTCTTTTTATATAGTTTATCATTCCAATAGGTTATTCTTGCTTCTTTGATTAACATATTTCTCTTTATTGTGTTCTAATTTACTTATTATACTAAGTATCCTCATTTATCCAATAACATTATTATGTATTTATGCAAACAATATGCTACTATTTATTTATTTATTTATAACCACACAATTATTCTATGTACCTACAAAATTGAAGAATTAAATTGAACCACAAAATTGAAAAAAAATCATCTATATTAGTACTATGCGTCTCTATTTTTTTGGATACCACGTTTTTATTTCGGTTCAAGTTATTTATTGAAATTAGGTATTGATTTGATGCAATCTGATTCAAAACTGAAATAAAATCGTTTTTCAGATTTATAAAATAGAAATTACATGTTATAAGTTTGTAGTTTCCAAATTAACATAAGCACAGTATGAATATAAACCACTATATTTTGTTATTTTACGATTTAATCATTATATTTTATTCTGTAAATAAAAGTGTCATGTTTTTTTAAATAAAACTTCCACTACAACCACTATGACTCATATTTTCAGTTTAATAAAATTATAACTAACATTCTTTATTATATAACTACACACATGACATCATATGTATTTTATAAAATAACATCTAAGTTTTGAAACGATCTCATTACCTACATTATATATGTATAATCTATAAAACTCTTAAATTAAATGAGAAACCATTTCAGTATGTAATATGTTATTTTCATTAAATAATATATGATGTCATATAGGAAATGATAAATTTTGTCGATGTTAACACCTACTATATTAAAAATATCAGAGGGCTTCTAGTTATCAATGTTAAGTGGTGTTCTTCCTTCTTAAGATCGATTGTTCAAGTGTCATCTAGTATATATATGTGGATTTTTGAGTAGTTTAGAAGTAGATTGAAATTTTGTTCTAAAAAAACTAAACTATAAATATTAAATGAGTTGATATTTTATTTTTACGAGAATTTTGTATATACCCTTTCTAAACATCAAAATATCGTATTTGTCCACCTTAATTTATAAAAATCATATTTACCTTTTATAAACATTAAAAATATAATATATACTCTACTTTAACATCAAAATATCATATATGTCATTAAATATCAAAATATCAAATATAATGTCTGAAATATCTTCCATATAATAATCAACAATAACAAAAACTAAACAATAAATAGACAAAACTGAAAAATTGGTCACTGTGGTATGCATTTTTTTGGGGGTTTTAGTCCAAATCACGATTTTTTTTGGATTGGTGGTCATTTTAAGCTAGTTTCTTTGTGTTGTTGGTCCTTCAGTAAACTAAAAAGACTATTATGCCCTTTTGATATATTTTTATGCGTTTTCTATTTAATTTAAATGAAAAATAAAATAATTAATTAATTTGGGACCTACACCTCTCTCTCTCTCTCTATAAAGCACACAACTCATTTTTTTCTTCCGATCTCAACTTCAACGAATACGAAGGGTTACCACCTCCGATGATCTTGAGGCAACCACCTCACCACCTTCCATCCCCATCCTCTGGTCCGGTATTGCACCCCACCACCATTGCTCTGCCACTCCTTCCCCGTCTCACCCACGAACGTCGTCGGTAAAAAAGAAACGAGGGCAGGACCGATGATTTGTTTTCATGTTTTGTTATAGGTTCAATTTCGATTTTTGTTTCTACAGTGATTGTTATAGGTCCGGTTTCAATGGTTTGTGTTTCATGTTTTGGTTTTGTTTGATCTGGGTTTCGTATGATTTGGTTTTGCTATGAAGATGATGAACTTGTTAAGGAATAACCGAGAGAAGCCCAAAAGCATATTCAAGATTAGAAGCCTCTACATTAGAAAGCTTAGCTGAGAAGCCATGAAATCGATTTTTGGTTTAATTTGAAATCGATTTTGGGTTTAATTGTAGGACTTGAAGGTATTACAAATTTGGGATATATATTTGATTAATTTGTGAATCTTAATCATCATCTAATCTTTTACGACAAATTGGAGAGACAGGTGATCGAATAGGTGAGGGTGTGGGAGATGTATTGGGTTTTGATGAACAAGATGAAGATCTGAGTAGAGTTTTGATGAACATGATACTATCAAATATGCATTTGTATTTCTTGCTCCCCTTTCATGACTTGTTGCAATAATAGAGGGAAGAAAAATCTAACCCACTTCTAGTTTTGGAAAACCCCAAAAATTCCCAAGAAAAATTAATGACGAAGTAAGAAGAATCTAAAAAGCCTTTCCCCTCAAATCGATATCACAACAAGAACACTTCAAACAACAAGAATCTAAAAAGCTTCTCTATCAATCTGAACCTAATTAACCTGTTTCATTTTCAAAAACATAAAGAACACTACCCCCAAAAATCACCGCCACCTGATGTTGTAATATTTATACCTAAACAACCTCTTGAGTGTATAAGTACTGATTCTAGAAGAAGAAAAAGAGTTATGGTGTTGATTTGGGGATGTATGAAAGAAGATGAAATTATTCAGGAGAGAGAGAGAGAGAGAGAGAGAGAGAGAGAGAGAGAGAGAGAGAGAGAGAGAGAGAGAGAGAGAGAAAGAGAGAGAGAGAGAGAGAGAGAGAATGTGGGCCCCTTGTTATTTTTTTAATTATTAAAATAAATAAATTAGTATTAAATTTAAAAAAAAGAAAGAAAAATGGAAAATGAATACCCTAAAGGTATTACAGTCATTTCATCATTCAAAGGGACTAAAAACGCAATGAAATTAGCTCAAAAGTACCACGAATCCAAAAAATCGGGGTTTGGACTAAAACCCAAAAAATATACATACCATGGGGACCATTTTTTTTGTCCAATAAATAAATAGATGCATCACATATGGATGAATTGTGTTTATGAAATGACGATATTCCACCATTTTAAACACCTTCTATAAATTTAGATGTACAAATAAAATGATCAATTTTAATTATTATAATAATTTTACGATATAAAAAATATAATAAACTATTAAAAATATTATAAAAAGTTTACATATTTAATGTTTATAAAAAGCAAATACAATATTTAAGAAAATATAGACTTAATTTTTTTTCTATTTTTATTTTTTTAATTTGGTTGGGTTCCAATTTGGGACCAGCCAACCCCGTATAGCAATTTACAGATCGGGACCCACAACATTGTTGATAGCGTGACGGACTCTTCTCTAATCCCACAACCTGACCTGTCCTTTGAAATATAAATTACGCGGTCTCCACGTTTTACCCTTTTCTCTCTCTTTTCTTCTCTCTCTTCCATCACTGTCCTTTCTTCTTCGATCATGGCGATCTGAGAGAGGGAAAGGAACACACTATAAATTATTTATTCTTTAGCTATAATTCGAGGTCCTCTTTCTTCTTCGTCTTAAACTCTGTCGTCATTGATTTTACTCTAACGTTACCGGATTTATCTCATAGATTACACTCAAATAAGTCGTGACGGAGCTATTATATGGAGGTTATGTCGCCGCTAGACTCGATTGATTCGTTGTTGTTCTCCGCCAGCAGAGCATTGTGTACTCCTTTCGCTGTATTTGTTCAGATCCAGGTTCGGATTTTGTCAATTCTATCTCAATAACGATTTTGCTCAAGATAAGGATTTGTTTTAGTTTTAGTTCATTGTTATAGTTCGATTCTACTTTGTATTCCATGGATCTGGTGATTATTATTATGCTCATGTACAATGCTTATGATGAATTTTTGTGTTTGAAAACATGATAATTAGGGCTCTATTTGTTCAGAAAACTTGGATTTTGTTCGAAATTGCTTGTTGTATGAGTTGATGCATTTCAAAAATAAGTTTACTGCAGTTTGAGTTAACATCGTCAGAAAGTGTTTTTAGTTCTCTTCAATTAGAAAACTTGGTTTTGTTATAGTCAAGTTGCCAAACAAACATATATTAGGTTCGGAATAGTACCTTTCAGAAGGAAATACGATTTACACCATGTTTTTTTTACTGATTACCAACCTAATTCTATCTGTTGTTTTTGTTATAAGGTGTAATGCAGTTCTTGCGATTATTTTGAGTTTTAAATTATGAATCTTGGAGTGAAAAGTTAGTCTGTGACTGTGAGAACTCAAAGTAAAATGATATGACTTTTATTTTTTTGTTGAACAAAGGAAGTAAATTTCTGCAAAATCGACGTGTTTGTTCATTGTTGTTTAGGGATTTCATAAAGTTAGCACTCATCGTTGTTTAGGGATTTTATAAAGTTAGCACTTGAATCTTCTTTGCATGTTTTACCTTATTTTTCTCTCTCTCTTGCAGGTCTGCAAGAATAAAATAACATTGTGACAATTTTCTTTTCATCTGTGTATTTATCAGTAATTTGAAATTTTGGCTAGAGTGGATTTGATTTATATAAATTATGTAAGATTTAAATATAAACCAATCCAACAACTTTTTGGAATGCTTAGCCCAGAAATCACCCTATTGCTAATTGCTTATCCAAATCTTTCCTTTCTTCAGTCAACCTAAATGCCATGGTGAAAGAGATACTCCATAATTGAGGGTTTGTTGTACACATAGCCTATGTGAAGTACTTGGAATTAAGAGAGGTTTTCATAGCCATACACTATAGAAATCACCCTTGGTCACATTTATCTGGATTTATAAGCTATACTTGGTTTTCTTGTTGTTTTAAAGTTAATTGTTAGCCATAAGATGGTAATGGAGTAATGATAGTTTGTAAAGAACTATCTTATCTCTTGTGTTCAAAGATTATGAGAATTAAGATTATGTTGCTTAATGCACTTTTATGTTTTTACTATGATCTTTAATATGGGGAAATAAATATTGATGCTGCAGGGATATGTAATATGCTTACTTTTGGCTGCTGGATGGGCTGGTGCAGCTTATGTGAGGTATCAAAATAGTGACCATAATATAATATTTATGTGACAATTACTTAAAATGATAAAAACCAAAAGTAAAACCTCATTTGAAACTTGATCAAACAATATTCTTTCTCTTACAGAAACAGAGAAATAAGACAGATGAAGAAATGTATGAAAGATGGGAATGACTTTGCATTTCTTAGCCATGATCTTCATGATCTTGAGCACTCAAAACAGATCCAATTGCCAGGTGTCACTGTTGTAATGCCCTTGAAAGGCTTCGGTGAACACAATCTGCACAACTGGAGAACACAGGTGTGTTACTTTCAACTTTGAAACTGGAGATATATATTTTTTTCTTCTTCTAATTTTTATTAGTACATATGATTATTGATAATAATATATGGATAATGAATCTCTACATACAGTTAACTTCCCTTTATGGTGGCCCTTTGGAGTTCCTTTTTGTTGTGGATAGCACTGAAGATCCAGCTTATCATGCTGTATCTAGATTACTCCTAGACTTTAAGGTATGTTTCACTATTTGTAACACAAACATTTTACTTATTTCAAATCTCTCTTTTTTTTTTTTTATTGTATTTTTTTTTCATGTGTTCAGGATGATGTTGATGCCAGAATAATCATAGCTGGTCCATCCACAACATGTAGTCAAAAAATTCATAATCAATTGGTATGCAGCAAACCAATCTTTAAATATATTTCTTCTTTAAAAACATTTTAATCATATTAAACATAACTTATATTGTATTATGATGATTTAATTATCAGGTTGGAGTGGAAAAAATGCATAAAGGGAGCAAATATGTGTTGTTTCTAGATGATGATGTCAGGCTGCATCCTGGATCAGTTGGAGCACTCACTGCAGAGATGGAAAAGAGACCTGAGGTATAATCAATAATCATGCTGTGATGCACATTGATAATAGATGGTACTTAATTTTTATATCTAGATGTTTTTATATTTTTTATTTTCAAAAACTTTGTTTTTATTAACTTGTTGTATTTAATTAACTTTATGCAGATATTTATTCAAACTGGTTACCCTCTTGATTTACCTTCTGGAAGCTTGGGAAGTTACTGTATCTATGAATATCACATGGTAAGTCTCAATAAAGCTTTGTATTTGTGTTTACAAATGCATAGTTTCATGATATGCTTTGTACAATTTATAGCATCATATCACAATGTCTTAATCAGAAAGTTTTGAAGTAAAATTTTGTAATAGAATTTTGAAAAAACATTATAAATGGTCCTTGTGCCCCTATGTTCAAAAAAACATCACGGATGGTCCCCTTGGTTTCAAAACTTTTAATGTTTGTTCCTTATTGCGAACTCTGTTAAGGGCATTTTCGTCATTTCACTACCACAGGGACCATTTATGAAGTTTTTTATTATTTAAAAAAAGAAGAAATAAAATATAATTATTTAATATACCTGTGGTAATGAAATGACGAAAATGCCCTTCAGTTAACGGACAAAACTTAATGGAGCGAGCAATGAGGACCAAATTTTAAATCTTTTGAAACCACAGGGACCATCTGTGAGGTTTTTTTGAACTTAGGGGCTATATGCTAGATTTCTGGAAAGCACAGGGACCATTTATGATGTTTTTTCTTGATCTAAAAAAACCTTATATTTTGTGTTTTATTTTCCTGATTAAACCTCAAATTTATTTTTTGCCTGAAAAAGGCCTTGTATTTTTTTTTTTTTTTTTTTTTTTCCGAAAAGCCCTCAACTTTGTATTTTGTTCTGAAAAAAACCTTCAACCTTCTAAATGGTTCCAAATAAACCCACAACTTTTTTAGTTTTTCTCGAAAAAACCCTCACATTTTACAAAATTTTTTTTTGGCAAAAAATGACTAAAAGGGATAAATCGGGAAAAACAAAAAATACAAGGTTTTTTTTTTCAAGCAAAAAATAAATTCGAGGTTTAATCCGGAAAAAACACAAAATATAAGGTTATTTTTGAGATTAACTCTAAGAAAAAATCCCTCAAATGTATAATCCTACAATTATTTAGATCTTTCATACTACAATCCCTTAAAAAAAATGAAACTATAATACACAAATACATAAAAGTACATTTCTATTTATTACATTTAGTTAAACATATTCATATTCAACTAAATATCATTTTGTTTACAGCCATGTTCAATGGGATTTGCAACTGGTGGAAGAACATTCTTTCTTTGGGGAGGATGCATGATGGCAAGAATCTTTGACTTTTACCCTTGCTTTGACCACCTTAATTCACTTTTAATTTATATTAATTAATAACAATTTATACTTTCTTCCTTTTCCATTTTTTTTTTCACAGATGCATGCAGACGATTTCAGAACTGATAAACATGGTGTTGTCTCACAGCTTAGTGATGGTGGATACTCTGATGACATGACTCTTGCTGCCATAGCTAGTAATACATTTTCCTAATTTTCTATTTTTCTATTATTTATTTATTTCAATATTCCATTACTAATTATTTATCCATTTATTTTTTCAGGTGCTCACAAAAGGCTTATCACATCACCTCCTGTTGCTGTTTTCCCTCATCCACTTGCCAGTGATCTCACTTTTTCAAGGTTCGAAAAAAAAAAAAAATTGAAATTCAATATTTAAATAACAATAAACCTCAATCTAATAATTTCTTCTTCTTCTTCTTATTATTTTTTTAAATAAATAGGTACTGGAATTATTTGAGAAAACAAACATTTGTGTTGGAGTCATACACAACATATATAAACTGGATAATGAACAGAGCATTATTTTCTGTACACTGCTACTTATCTTGGGGATTTGTAGCTCCATATGTTATGGCATTCTTTCATGTTATAGCTGCTTTAAGATTTTACATGAAGGAAAAAGTAGCTGAAGAATCTCCTCTCAACCCTAATGGTATAACCTCATGTCTACTATTTTTAATAAACATTCAGCAAACCTTTCTATTTTTTAATTTTTTTTTAATTTTTTTTACCAGGGTTGATTCTGGTGGGATGCTTAGTGACATGCACAGCAATTGAACTTCTTTCAATGTGGAATTTAACAAGAATAGAAGTCAGACTATGCAACATGTTGTCACCCGAGGCACCTCCTCTTTCACTCAGTGCTTATAATTGGTGTTTGGTAAGTTTTTACTTTTATAAAACCTACACAATTTTTATAATTTTTTAATCAATTAAATATATATAAATATGAGCACACACAGGTGTTTGTTGCAATGGTGGTGGATAATTTCCTATACCCGATTTCTGCAATCCGTTCACATTTTTCTCAATCTATCAATTGGTCTGGAATCCGATACCATTTGAGAAATGGAAAAATACACAAGGTCAGATTATTAGATTTGGTATTTTTTTCAAGAGTGAATTACGTTTTTGGTCCTCATAAAGTTTTCTCTTGCAGTTTTGGTCCTTGGATGAGGTTTTTGTAACATTAATTTTGGTCCGAAAAAGTTTTCTCCAAGCAATATGACTATTGCTGGGACCAAAGTTGCAAAAATAAGCTATACTTAGGGACCAAAAGTAGTCATTTCACATGGGACATGGACCAATGTTGCAAATAAGGACTAAAATTGCAAGAGGAAACTAACTGGGACCTAAATTGCAATAATCAACTATACTCAGGGACCAAAAATGTAATTTACTCTAAACATATGTATTTGTTAACTTTATATCTAGATTGAAAGAACAATGGAAAAAGGCAAGAAGTTTTCAGATTTGGCGGCTAAACGTTTATACGCAAGGAAAGGAGCGCAAAGCAAGATTTCGATTCTTGGTTCTTTATCAAGAGGTCTGGCCCACTGGAGACAACCAAAAAAATACGATGTCTGAAAAAGAAAAAAAAAAAAGAAAAAAGAAAACATTTATGGTGAGCAAAATGTCACCAGGTAATATGATTCATCCCCCCCATTTATATATGGTTGATTGGTGAATTTTAATCATCCATGGACTTAGGCAATTCTTTTGGTTTATTTTTAAAGAAACAAAAAAAAGAGATTACAATTCAATTGATTGATTCTTCAGCTTCAGATTCAGATGTAGCTGTAGGAGACTGTAGTGTTATTCCTTGTTATCTGGCTTGGCTTGGTTTTGTATCTTGTAAATTTAATTGTTGTGTAATTTAAAAGGAACTACTATTTGCATTCAGGTCCTAATTCTATTATTGTAAGACTCATTTTGTGAAAAAGGAAATTTGCAGCATCTTTTGATACACAACTGTTTTGTCATTATACAATAAGTCATTAATTTAGTTCTAAGAGAATCTGTTTTTTCCAAAAAAAAATCTTCTTATTGTATTTGTTGTGTGTTGAGGAATATGGAAGAGAGAAAAGAGAAAAAAAGCTGATGTGAGGAAGGAGGTTGAGAGGGAATGACTCCATGCCTAGTCATTTATCTTGTAATTATATCCATATCCAGTAGACTAATAAACAATTTTTTTTTTTGGTTCTCATTCCACCAATATAATTCAACTAGACAAGCGGATATAGTGATATTGAATTCTGTCAACTGTGATGTGATAGGATTTGTTAACTTATATCTACCTGGCTCCAACATGTCCTAATTTCAATATGACAAAATCACTTCAAATCTATTCTAAGACTATTCGTTATGTCCACCATTATCACCACTAAGAACTTCAGGTATACTGGCCACGAGCTGGTTCGTGGTCTATGTGGCCACGATGGTGGTCCGTGCACACCACCCCTGCTTATGGTGATCGTTGAGCCTTGTACTCGGGAGAATTATGGAGAACGGCGAATTGGAGAAGAGGAGAAGAAGTAGCCGTTGAACGGCTATATTTTTTAAACAATTTTTTTAAAACTTTTTTTTCATCTATAAATACCACATTTTTACACTCATTTCTTTACATCATTTTTTCATTCTCTATACACAATACACACTCAACAATTTCATATCAATCAAATTGATCACAACCAAAACATTCCCAAACTTTAGAAATTGCAAACCCGATAATGCTTTTGTGTTCGGCACAACCCCTCGTTAATTCCTGACCATGGAATCACATCAATGTGGTTTTGTCAATTTGCTTCAAACCGGTTTCCCTATCCAACAAACAATACTTTTCAAACAATGATATCAAACTTTTCCGACGTTCCAACAACACCAACAACAACAATTCTAACCACAACCATCACAACCACAAACATTACAACTCCCTCATTTGCCGGATTTTGTTTGGAAACTCAACTTTCACCACCACTTCAACCTAAAAAGAAAAAAGGAAAAAAACCGGTCCGACCCAACACCATCCAAGAAAGTGTCCCATGGACAAAAGAGGAAGAAGGAAAGCTAGCCGAGGCATGGATTTCGGCTTCCCAAGACCCAATCGAAGGCGATAGTCAAACGTTCAATAGTTTTTGGGAGAAAGTTTGTGCAATGTTTTATAAGCTAACGAGAAGTGAAAGCTAAATCCCGATTAAATTAGCTCGAAGTGGCGTGATATTCGACTAAAATGCACCGAATTTGGAGGAATTTACGACAACCTCTTAAACATACGAAAAAGCGGGTCAAACGATTTTGATGTCTTCAAGGCGACTTTGGACCAATTTGAAAAATTAACGTCAACTCGCAAAGCTTTTCCGTATATAAAACCTTGGCTAAAGTTGAAAGACGCTCTGAAATGGAAAGAACCAACGGAAGGAAGTTTACAATCTTTTGGTTCAAAACGTCTAAGAAACCCCGATGCAACATCTCAACAATCGGACGGACGAACACATTTCGACATCAACGATGTTCCGGTCGATCTTGAAGACAATCAACCTTTTCGTCGGCCTGTTGGAAGAAATAAAGAAAAAAAAGCGGCTTCAACGGCTTTGGGATCTAGTGTTATGGATCAATTTGGAGAGAAATTTGATCGTTATGTGCATGTTCAAGAAACGAAGGTGGAGACGTTGAGTCGGATAGAACAGAAAATGATAGAAACACAATCGGTGATTCAAACAAAAATCATATGAAAATATTGAAAATGAAAGTGAACGACCTTGAAGACGAAGATTTGGAGCTATTTCTCGCAATGAGGGAGTCCGTTCGAGTCCGGCATAGGAATAGGGGATAGTTTTTTTAGTTAAGCTTGGTAATTTTAGGTTTTTTATTTTTAATGTTATTTTTATTATTTTAATTTTAATTATAATTTTTTTATTTTAATTAATGTAATTTGGTATTTTAAATTAATGAAACTAGTATTAAAAAAAAAACGATTTTCATGTATTTTTTATTTAAATTTAATTAAAAAATGAGGTGGAGTTGTGTGTTTAGTGGTAGATATCTCATAATTAGTAGTAGGGAGTGGTGATGATGTGACACCTACCATTATATTGATTAGTGGTGGGTATAACGAATAGCCTAACTACCACTAAACCTATGATTATATCCACCACTAACCACTACACACCACATAATTTTTTTATTTTTAATTAAAAAATACAATAAAATTACATTAAAAAAAAACCCATTGAATTTTTTTAACTAGTTTTTCTTTAATTTTTTTTGAAACGACAAACTAACTAATCTACTCCTAAATAACCACCTATGTCTCCACCGAGACTTGAACCCCAGACCTCTCATATGAGATGGTCACTCCATACCGTTAGGCCATTCGTTTAATTATAAAAATAAAAATACAACTTCAAACAACATTACTTAATTAATCTAGAGTTAAAAAAACATTACATTACTTAAATAACCTAAATTAAAAATACAAACAAAAAATCATTTGAACAACTTGGACCATTCGTTTGTAATACATGCTTGGACCATTCGTTTAATTCTATCCTTATCCCAAAGTCGTGTAGCGTATTTCACTACATGTCATGTCTGTTTTGAGGACTCCAAATGCCCACTCGATATCATTCCTCGCTAATTCCTGCCTCTTTGTGAACAACTTTGCCTTCTCACTTCGAGGAACTGAGTATGTCTTCATAAGTGTAGAATAATCCGGGTATATCCCATCACAAAGGTAGTAACCGTATTTGTACGAATATCCGTTCACCGTGAATGTTATATTAGATGCTTTGCCAGTCCAAAGACCGATGAAAAGAGGAGACTGACCAAGAACGTTAATGTCGTTGTTAGACCTTGCAACTCCAAAAAACGAATGATATATCAACAAATCCTGATATACAACAACTTCTAGGGCTATAGTTGGTTCACCTATATCTCCTTGAGTGAATTGACCACGTCATGCAGTTGGACATTTTTCTCAAACCACATGTGTACAATCTAGACTCCCAAGCATACTCGAAAATCCATGCCTTTCTTCATTAGCCAAATATAATCTCTCAATATCACGTGGAGTAGGTTTACGCAAATATTATTGGTGAAAAACCTCATACACATGTACAAAACCAATCTACACAATCAATTGCAGTCCTCTTGGATACTTTCAAGTATTCGTCGGATGCATCAAATGTTATACCGTATCCCAAATACCTAAGTGTAGCCATACATTTTTATATACTACAAAAACTTATTATTCCTCTAACATCAAGATTTTGTTTGAAAAAACCATAAATGAACTTCTAAAGCATTAATAATACGTAAAAATATAGCCATTACATGGAAACGACGTTCGAATGAGTCATCATTGTAAAGACAATTATCGACAAAGTAATAACGTACCAATAATCCGTGTGCGGCTTGACAATCACATATGAGCAACATTCGAACTTTCTTCATCGTGACTGTGTTACACAACATTGAAGAAGGTCGAGATAAATTCTCCATCATCATCGAGTCAAAATTTTTAAAGAAATCCATGTGTTTTTTGGTTTAGAGAATGAGGGTGTAAAATTTGATGAAAAGTGAGGATTTTATTGTGTTTATATAGGTATTGAGTTTAAAAAAAAACCTTGAAAAAATGACCGTTGAACGGTCGAAATGCAAGCCTCGAAATCCTATTGGACGTCCGCCTCTGTCGTAGCCACCACGAATGGCCACGACCATGACGCATGACAACAAACCGGGACGGTGTGCACGATCATGGTTCGTGCTCACATATACCACGAACATGCTCGTTTGAAGTATACCGTATGACCTAATTGTAGACCTGTCGAAAAAACCTGAAACCCGTTCTACCCACCCGACCAGTTTCGAATTCGGGTAGAATGGGTCGGGTAGAACGGGTAACGGGTATGACCACTCGAGTAATAGGTTAACCCGATAATAATATAGGTTGGGTTTTCGGTATAATATTTATTTTCAGGTATACCCGAATTCATTTTTTAAATAATACCAAATATACAATGCAGTCACGTACATACACTTCAAATAAAACAAAACCCTTCGTTTCCTTCTTATGAACGACAGCTCAACAGTCGACGCAAACTTGCAAGAACCGTCATCACAATTCTCAGTTTCTTACTATCGCACAAAATGGAATTAAAAAAGTACATAATATATTATAATGATTTGTATTGTTATTATATATGTACTTGTTAATTGCATGGAGTATTTTACTATCCGATTGTTTATTAAACCAACCAACATGTAAAAATAAAAAAATAAAGAAAAAAATTTATCAATAAATGTCATTTAAGAAATTTTCAGGTATACCCGATAATTACCCGATCCGACCTCAGACCCGAATACTTGAAACCTAAAAACCGAATTACAATATAGGTCGGGTATCGGATATTATTTTCTTAAGTAAATACTCATTTTACCCGACCCTAACTACCCGAAACCCAAATTTTTTACCGTTCGACACCCCTACCTAATTGTGTAATGAGAAGCTAAAAAAAAAGTTATTGGCCTATTAAATACAATTAGAATATAAGTGACCCAAAGAGCATACTGTATACTATTGATTGTACGTTATTTTTTTTTTTTTATTTTTTTTTTTTATTATTATTTTTTTAATATAATAACAAACACCAACCGCTCATACAAAATATGAAAAATCAAACCAAGGATTTTCAAAAGAAGATTGTTTTTTTTGGTTTTTAGTTTGGTTTCCCTTTTTTGTGCAAACCCATCTTATTAATTTTGACAGGTGCAACTAAAAGTTCTTACTTTGAAATCAAATCAAAATGAATTTCACTTACTATCTAAAAAATCACATAACTTATAGAGTAGTCTAATTTATATAAAACATTAAAATCATGTTGATCCATGTAATAAACAAAAAAATTTAATCGGAAATCTTATGTGAACTAGAAGTTAACCAGGAGAGCATTTTTCCATATCCTTGCCAAAGCAGGAAACCATAGCGGTCAACCGGGAACCTATTTTTTTTATGTGAACGGTTTATTGGTTCTACAACTCCACTCGGATTAGAAGTTTAGTTTATTTGAAGCTGAAGGCTTTTGTTAATGTATATGTTTATTAGTTAGTTGTTCGCTCTTTTTTGTATAAAGAAAACATACAATAATGATAGTTAAAACCAAACAAGTGTCATAAGTGGATCACATGGCAAAAGCGGATCTGTTCACATGATAACAGTTGATAGAATATGCATAATTTTATCACAAGATATCATGTTTAAAAACCAATAAACGTGCTATTGTTGTGACATGTTTACATTGGTGAACATGTTTGTTTACATAAACTTGTGTTGCTTAAGAAATGTTTTACATTTTACCTTGTGAATCGATTCAAAAAAAAGTATGAGCATTTCCTTTGCAAATGCTGATGTTGTGAAACTACCATATACCATTAGTTGTAGTACAAGTGGTCGTGGATTATTCTAACTTTAACCATAATATTTTAAGTAACTTTAATCGGTATAAAAGAAAAGTTTATTTGATATGATAACCATATAGTTTATTAGTTGTTCAAGTTGTACTTTGTTATTAAATGTCGTTCATTAAGATATGCATCTCCTGCCACTTTAATACAATCCAAATTATTCCCTTTCACCAAAAATTTTAGGGTTTTGTCAAATGTGGAGTCAAGAATCTGATACTTTTCAAACTGAAAACACATCTAATAATTAAGTGAATGAGAATAAAATCCCTTTGATATCAAAAAAACCATTTTCTAATTCTGTGATTTTATATGGAAAATCGGTTAAAGGCATGTCGGCAAAACTAGTTGGAAACTGGAAGCTGGAAGTTGTAGCTTTTATTTGTAGATGAACATTCGACAAAAATAACCGGAAGCTTTTTAAAACGCATAAAGTTACATAAAATGACATATTTGTAAAATAAAATAGGAGCATAATTTAAAAAAAGGGTTAATTAAGCCAATTCACAATAATATAAGAGTTTTGAATAAATTACATGAATCGTCCCTCGTATCAATATGCACGTTCAATCTCTATTTTCAAAAATTAACTTGGGCCGCCTCTTATTTGGTTAAAAATTGCATGTTTCATCTCTTCAGACATAAAAAGATATTTTTGCCCTTATTTACTATTTATTTTCCATTTAATTGTTATTTATTAATTACTTATTGATTTTTATTAGAAAATAATTATTTATTTCCTTTAATAAAAGAAAGACTCTAAACCTTTACACATATCATCCCCCCCCCCCCCCCCCCACCCCCACCACCACCACCACCAATTTATTCGTTAATGTGTCATCTTCACTACGTATCCTTACTAGACCAGGTCACAAGTCCATCGAAGAAGAGGGAGATTCAGATCAGAGAATCAGGTCAAACACAAAATTGTCTACATTGATGACCCTCTTCTATGTGTACAATCTCTTTTCCCACCATGTACAACCTCCTCCTAAAACCACTAGT